CACACCGCAGCCCGGGTGCGGCCAAGCTGCAGCCATTGCGGCTGCTCCCACCCTGCCAGGAATTGCCTGAATCTCCTGATTTGGCCGGAGCAGAGCTGATGGATTGGAGTTTTTCCCCACTGAGGTGGAGAAACGGGTGCCTCTGGTGTCGTGCTTCACACGGAGAAGCGTGGGGAGAAGTCAGGGGAAGCCCCTTCCCCCAGTTTCCACTTGCCAGAGCTGGGGGTCCGTTTCAGACCCCCCCTACAATGGCAGACGTCCTTGTGATAGCAGCCGGGTCTGTGATAGCAGCCCACCCACCCGCTCCCCTGCGCTGGTTAGAGAGATGCTCCTCACCATGGCAATGGCTCCGCTCGGCACGTAAAGCATTTCCAGGTACTGGGACAAAGCGTGGCTTTAATTGATGTCCTCTTGGGTGCCGAGCTTGGCCGCTGCCTTGTCGTGCAGCCAGAAATAAATGCCAGTGACAAACGTGACTCAGAGGCACATGGTGGAAGGGACTGGTTTAATGACGGAGCGGCTGCATGACGAGCTCCCCTAACAAGGGAGAGGGCCGGCACCTTGTCCTCCCCCTGCCAAGGAGGGGGAAATGTGGCACGGAGAAGCTCCCCTGCCACCGAGGAGCCATCGCGGATGCCAGAATAATTGATGACTCTGCGCTGCTTGTCATGGCCCCGCATCATAAATGCTTAAAAGGTTTATTTACCAATTCTGCAAACTCCTGTGCGCATCGTGTTTCATGCAAATGGAGAGTGTGTTTAGGAAGATATAAAACATTACTAGAGGGAAAGGCAGTCCGTTATCTCCGTGCAAACACCTCCCTCTCTAGCTGTAAGCCAAACAGCAGGAGACCAAGCAAGACATGCTGATGAGGGTAACTAATGCAGGCCTATCCGACCATGAAAAGGAAGGATGGGATCGTCTGGAGCAGGCGAGACAGCTTTGCCAAAACAAACCACGTCACGTGCTGGTTGCAAAACCTCCAAGGCTGATTTCACAGTCATCCAGCTCGCACTCTTGAAGCCACCTTTGTTCTCCTGCTCCGAGGCCAAGTCGGGTCACTGGCATAGGATAGAGGAACCTCAAGGATGCGAGATAACATGGATGCAGCTCATCCGGAGCAAGAAGCAGCCTCCGAGCACTGTGCTCTAGCGGTACCTCTCTGCTCTGCCGTCTCTTTGCTGCGGGCTGGGACCCAGACGGGTGCCAGCTCAGTGCTGGTCTCCCAGACCTGCCTCCCCAGGGATCCTCAGCAGCTTTGATTGCTGTAAAAAATGCCTTCCCGGCTCTGGTGCCCTGTGGAGAGGTCCTGGCCAAAGGCAGTCAGACCATGAGTGCTGTGGAAAGACGTTAGCATCTTCCTCTGTGTGAGCAAAGAGCTCCAGAGCATCACCAGGATGTCACGCTGTGCTCCAAGAGCACGGCCAGACCGGGGTTGCTCAGGCAGATGGGCATATCCCTGCACAGGGATCACATTCCACCCAAATTCAGGCAGCGCTGGTAGCAGGGATGTGGATTTGGGCTTGTCATTCAAAAATAAATAGGAGGGTGATGCAAAGGCTTGTGCAGCTGCGACTGCATCACGTTGCAGCTGGGTTTGTGTATTCCCACCGGCGCTGGTTTTAAGCTAAAGGCTGATTTTAAGCTAAAGCAACGTGAGGCTGGTGAGCGCAGGGAGATGTGCTGGGCGCTGGAGGAGGGCCAGCCCTGGGGACCTGTGCTGTTACATCGCCTCGGGTCACGCTGTCATTCCTCTGCCTGTGCTCGGCTCCCTGGAAAAGGGAATTTCTCTGTAATTTCCAGTGTAGGGGGCAGAGTGTAAATCACCAAGATGCCGTGTTCGTGCTCGCTCCCAAGCACGACTTGTATTCTGGTCTTTGTTTCCTTGCTCCAGTCCAAAGCGAAGATTAAATGGCTTGTTCTGGGGTCCTAAAAACTCCCCGACGGTAGAAAACCTAGTAGGAACGAGCTCCAAGGAAAACAAAAAATACCATCCAGGTCCCTAAACCACGAGGTTTAAATATCATCCTGGACTTTGCCTGGTGCATGTAACTTGCTGTCTGGTCTCTGAGCCTGCAAAAGGTGCGTTTCCAGCTGCTTGTCCGTCAGCCAGGCAGGCAGGATTGTCTCTCTCAGCTTTCATTTGGGCAACAGAGAATAATCCAGCGGTTTGCAAGGCTTGGGGAAGCTGGACATCGGGGAAACAAACCTATCCCAAACCCTGCAGGTAACGTCATGGAAGCACTTTCCAGCCAAGGAGCCCGGGAGCTTGGGCAGGAGCAGCTCTCCCGGCCCGGCCCTGGCAGGCAGCGGTGGCCGGAGGCGCGGCAGAGCTGTTATTCCACTTGAATTTCAGCCTCCAGGGTGCTAAGTAATAAAAAAAGGCTCAAAGTTTCCTACCTCATGTGTCAGCAGCATGTGGAGAAACACTGTGTGCGGCTCCACGGGTCTGTTATCTCCTCCCACTATTATCAGTGGGCATTTTTTTTTTTAATCATGGCATTAGCTGCTTTGTAGGCATCGGCTTGTGTCGGAGCTATGCGAGATGCTGAGCCTGCCAAGCCCTGCTCTGGGCAGAGGTCAGGGGGCTAAAAGGGGGGTCACAATTATTGCACTCACAAACGAGTATTTAGAAGGTCAGACCCGAAATGCCTGAACAAGCCCGGAGCCGAGGAGCTGCGTTCGCACTTGAAAACGCACGTCTCTAGTATTTTCCTTTCGCCGTTCCAACCTCCCCCTGACTGTCAGGCTTCAGCCGTGAATCATTCCTGGGCACGTGGCTACCACATGAACGCTGCAAAATATTTTGATGGAGGGGAACGGGGGTGGGAACACGAGATAACCCAGCCAATTGTTCCCAACCCTTCAAGTCCCGTGCCGAGGCATCGCAGCCTCCAGCGTTTGCAAGGGTGTCTTTCCCAGAGCTCACAGTCACGACGAGACCTGGGGTTTGGAGAACAAGGTAAAGCTTTTGATATTGTGGTTCAGTGAGGTTGGTGCTTCCAGCAGTGAGCAAGTGCTGCAAGTAGAAGTAGCTGCCCTGGGTCAAGCCCTGGTTGCTCACAAGACTTTGGCTCCTTGCTTCTCACATTGGGAGGTTGAGTAGGTCCAGGTGGAAGAAGGGACCTGGTGAAGTGTCCTCCTTGGCAGCATCCTCTGCCAAAGCTCTGCATCTCCCAGGTGGGTGGTGTTAGTCATGAGTCACCACTATTAACAGCCCTTGTTGTCTCTCTGACAGCTTCACCGAAGCCATGAAGAGCCAGCCGAAGCTGGAGGGCTTAGACTGCCACTGGGCCTATTATTTGGGCTTGGCCATCTTGGCTGTGGGGACCTTATTTGTCGTCTCCAGCTTCTTAGCACTGGGATTCACCGGGACATTCCTAGGTAAGCACTGAATATTCAACAGCTTAACCAGAAAGTGCATTTAGTCCTTGCCGGTGTCTTTTCCTAGGGCAGAGTCTAGTAATTTCCTCGTCTTTGCCAGCAGAGCTGTTAGATTTGATCTTGGCTTTATGGTACCAAAGCGTGGTAGATCTAACCATGCCGTTACCTCTCATGGAGAAGATCATGTAGGGATTTTATATACTGAGTCCCATCACCTTCACTGTCAGGCCTGAAATTTTAGGAAGCAGCTGATCGTCTGACAGTCCAAATGCTCTCCAGAAAAGGGACCCCAAGTCCAGACCCCGCGAGCAGGTCAGCACCGGCGCAGCGGGTACGAGCCATCGGGCAGCCTTGCTCTGAGCCCCCACATGCTCGACACACGTGCCAACGCAGGATCTCATTTGCTCTTCCCTCTGCAATAAACCTGACATTTGTTGACAGATCCTTTTATCTGCCGCTTTATGGCAGAAGGCATTTTCCACTGTGCCTTCTTTCGCGTTTAGAGAGTAATTCTATTAGCGTTGTTGACTTTAAAAACATGCCAGTATGTGTGGAATTCATAAAAATAAAATAGAGACAGGAACAATAAATACCGAAGGAAAGGGGCAGCTCCCGCTGGCTGCAATAATCACAGCCCCAGCTTTGACACTGCATTTAGGCTGTGCTTTTGCAAGTGCTTTACAAACCAAATTCAATTAGCCCCTGCAGCGTCGCCAGGAAGAAGAGAGGGAGGTAATAAGCCTTCCTGGTTTCAAGTGGAGCTGCAAAGAAATGTGTTGAGTTGGCCAAGATCCTGCTGCCAGAAATAGAGCTCAGTGCTCCTGAACACGTGCCCTCACACTTCAGCTCCTGGCCCCACGTTACACCCCTGTCCCCCAGCTACCAGCCACCAGTATCCTCCGAAATCGCCCGCAGCCCCCAGGAGCGATGCTGTGCCCGCGGAGACATGCCCACAGAGGCCGGGCACAGGAGTAACCCGCCGGAGAGAGCTGCTTGAACGCTCCTGAGGTTCAGCCAGGTCTGGGGTTTTTACGTAAAGCCTGATTCATCTGACCAGGAGGATCCACTGGGCTTGAACCGCTGGGGAAAAGCAAACAAGTGAGTCAGGCTCAGCGTAAGCCCCGTCCCGCTCCGCTCTGCACGACCGGTGGCTCCTCTATCCCCCCGGGTTCCCCCGGGGCAGGGAAGAGGCAGGAGTTAGTGGCCCGTATCGGGCACTTCTTCATCCTCTGTGCCGGTGGAGGCTCTCCCTGCCACCAGCACAGGTTGAGTCTGCATGGCTTCGAGCCTTGCGTGACGCAGCGAGGGGCCAGGCCATCCCTCTCTGCTAACCGGGGCATGACAGGCACCGGGGCAGAGCTGAGTCAGGGTGGGGAGATGCCAAGAACATGTGCTGGTGCAGCCAGGCTGGCTCAGGACCTCTGTGCCACAGAGGCACGGCCCAGCTGAAGCCCTGCAGAGCATCCATCCTTGGACTGAGAGTGGCTTCTCAGCTCCGTGTAAGCCTCCACGAGTCCTAACTCAATGGAGAATACTGTTCAGTGCAGTTTCTTACCAAGCCGTGGGGAAGACGAGGGGTCTGCTGGTCTCCCCAGGATCTCACGTGGGATGTTCTCTTGCTCAGGACTCACCTGGGACTGGGACTTCCAAGGTCCCCCTGCATGGAGAGTTTCAGTGATGTACTGGGGCTGTGGGAGGGGCAGGAGCCCCCAGCACCCATCACACTTGTCACTGCAGGTGGCAAAGGGCTGCGCTGTTTCGTTAAGAAGGGGGTTATAACATCATCCAGCTTCTTCTCACAGTCAATATCTGAGCTCGAGAGAAAATTTGAGAGAGCCTCTATCACTGAAGCACTTAAAAAACTTATTGGAACAGCATTTGACCCTTCCCTTTGGGTTTTCCTACAGCAGTGAGAGCTAAACCACTCAGGGCACGGAGACTGCACTGGAGCTGCCCATTAGATTCCTCTTTACCAGCACATTTAAGCTTTGGAGCAGCTGCAGAGCACTTTTGTCTCTGTAGTTTTGCCTGAACGGTGCAGTGGGAGCCACGAGTCACCCTTCTGCAACGAGCCTTTCTGTGCCACCCCATCTGCTGCCCAGCAGCACCGACCCCAGCTTCTGTTCTCGGGGGCTGGATGCGGCCCCTCGCCCCGGCAGAGCAACCCGCCTGGCACCCCGTCTCCACACCGTGCCCTCGCAGGGATTCAGACATCAGTTCAGCACCTTCTGCCTCGCTGTTCGCCCTATTTCCCGACAAACGTAGTAACAAGGATTTGACTTCCCGGAGGCCGAGGGCACCGAGAGGCGGCTCTGCCTGTCTGAGCCCATCTGTCTGGCACCCGAGCGCGGTTCCTTCCAGCGCTGACCAAGATTTCAAGTAAATCTGACTTGACCGAAGTCTGTCACTGGGCTACAGTGGAGCCGGCGGCTCCCGGAGGGAAGCGGAGGTGGCGTTTCAGCCCAGGTCGGGCTCCGGGGGCCACGGGGGGCCCTGCGGAGTCCATCAAATGGCTTTTTGCTGCTGCGATCCGAAGCGTCTGCCCTGTGCTGCGAGATGGTTATGCTGACCTCCGGCAAAATCCAACCCAAATGAGATGCCAAGGTCCCTCAGCCTGGCAAGGTGCGGGTTCCTGTTTTGAGGGCGTAGCGGCGGCACCGGCGATGCCCAGGCTGATGCAGTGCAAACCAATGCGCAGTCCTTTCCCTGAGCACCTGCCTGAAGAGAAAAACATCTCAGGTCCTCTCTGGTGATCATGTTCGTTTAACTGTGTAGGTTTACATCGGAAAAGCTTGTGTTCGGGGGGCGCTGCCTGTTCCCCCCAGCTGCTGTGTGCTTTTGCTTGCTGGGCTCCTGCCCGGAGGGTCCCACTGGTGCCCAGCACAGATAAGCCCCTGCCAGCCCCACAGACCTAGGGCTTTGTGTGAACCTTCCTGGTGCCAGCGCCGTTCGCGGAGCGAGGTGTTGAGCCCAAAGGCGAGGGCGGGCAGGGTATAATGAAGCATTTTGACACATAAGAAAGCACAGAAATGGGCTGTGGCAGGGGGTGATGTGTTCTTTCTACCAGAACAATCTCCGAGATGCATTGCCAAGTAACTGTGAGAACATATAGTATGAATACCGGGCAATTATCTCACTTAGTGGCCTGTAGTTAAAGCCCAAAAGCATTGTCTAATTGGGCAGGCGCTGTTTATCCTTAGAAATAAATGTTTTTGCACTGTGTGAGGTCAAAGAAATTACACTACGATCCAGGTAATAATAATAACCTTGAATAGTTTGCACTCCCGTAATGCCTTTTATCTGGATTTGCAAGCACTTTCTCACCATACATTAATCCTCACCACCATCCCCGCTATAAGAAAGACTGATATTATGATCGGTGCACAATAGCACTGGGAGGGACGGAGGAGACTTGCCCAAGGTCAGGGAACAGGAACGGGCTGGCAGCAAAGCCGGGAACACGACCCAGGGCAGTGGCAGCTCCTTGAGCTGATGGACCAGCACTGCTCCTCGCTGATTGATGCTGCGTCTTGTGCAGTGGGCACGGAGCAAAATCCTTACTGGGCTTTGTGGTCTCGCTTGTAAGACCAGCAGAAATCAGAGCTCAGCATCCCAGCCCTTTCTCCCCCACTGAAATGCCGCTTGCGAGCTGCACAACATCTCCTTGCTTGTCGTATTTTTTTCCCGGCTCCTTTCAGGAGGGTGGAAGGATGACTCCGAGGTGGATAGGAAGCTGGTTGGGTGCTGACAGTTCTGAAAGCTTTCCTCATTACAGATGACAATCACCTATTATCATCATCATCATGATGCCGATAATTGAGTGTTTTGTAGGCAGAGGTGCTATTTTCTGAAATTCTGAGAAATTTCTCTGAACTGTGAGATAAGGGTGACACTGAATGAGGGCATTTGGTGGTGGCGGTCGTGATTATAACATCTCGAAACACCATTACAGCATGCTGGGCTTTTTCCCCCATTAAATGGATTTGATCCTATGCACTTGCTTCCTCATCAAGTGGCATCAGACGGGCAGTTTTCAAATGAGAAAGCCAGAATCAGCCAGTTGGGGCCTTGAGAGCTGCCTCCCGATGAGGGACGTGGCTGCCATAGCCTCACTACAAGGCACAAACCTTCCTCGTGGGCAAAGAGCCATTCCCGGAAAAGCTGATAGTCACAGAGTGAACAGCCAACCTATTTGTTGCTATTTTCTCAGCCTGGAAGTCAACAGCGAAACCCCTTGTTCGCCTTCGCTCTGCGTCCCTGGCAGGGATGCCCCGTGCCACAGGGAGGGTATCAGTGTGCCAAAGCCCCCCACAGTGACTCCCAGCTTCGTGTAGCCTAACGAGAAACCCTCTGTTTGCTCTGTAGGTGATTATTTTGGCATCCTGATGGAGGCAAAAGTGACCAGCTTCCCCTTCAGCGTCCTGGATAATCCCATGTACTGGGGCAGCACAGCCGTCTACCTGGGCTGGTCCCTCATGTGAGTACGTGCCCCTGCAAACAGCACCGGTTGTAGGGCAAGCGTGGGGTCTGTGCGCGGTGGGGCAACCACTAGTACAGGCTGTGTGGAGAAGGGATTGAGAGCAGCCTGGGGAGAAGGACTTGGGGGTGTTGGTTGATGAGAAGCTCAACATGAGCTGGCAATGTGCACTGGCAGCCCAGAAAGCCAATAGGATCCTGGGCTGCATCCACAGCAGCGTGGGCAGCAGGTCGAGGCAGGGGATTCTGCCCCTCTACTCTGCTCTCGTGAGACCACCCCCCGCAGTGCTGTGTTCAGCTCTGGGATCCCCAACATCAGAAGGACATGGAGCTGTTGGAGCGGGTCCAGAGGAGGCCACGAAGATGATCCGAGGGCTGGAGCACCTCTGCTATGGAGACAGGCTGAGAGAGTTGGGGCTGTTCAGCCTGGAGAAGAGAAGGCTCCAGGGAGACCTTCCAGCAGCCTTCCAGTACCTAAAGGGGCTACGAGAAAGCTGGAGAGGGGCTTTGGACAAGGGCGTGTAGTGATAGGACACGAGGCAATGGCTTTAAACTGAAAGAGGGGAGATTTAGATTAGATATAAGGAAGAAACTTTTTACAATTGAGGGTGGTGAGGCACTGGCACAGGTTGCCCAGAGACGTTATGGCTGCCCCATCCCTGGAAGTGTTCAAGGCCAGCTTGGATGAGGCTTTGGGCAACCTGGTGTAGTGGAGGGTGTCGCTGCCCATGGCAGGGGGTTGGAACTAGATGATCTTTGAGGTCCCTTCCAACCCAAACCATTCTGTGATTCTCTGATTCTATGATAAGGTGTCAGGCTGTATCAAGGGCCAAAGGAACTCTTGGTGGTGGCAGTCAACAAAAAAAATGTCAGGCAAAGCACGAGATGTCCCGACTTCTCGCTTCCCGACTATTTTTGTGCATGCAAAATCTCTGCTGTCATAAAAGACTTGTAGCATTAATTGTAGAAAAATAAATAACGGCCAAGTGCTGGGGAGAAGAAGCATCAGCAAATGCTCTGCAGCTGAATGAGCTGGTCCTTGGCAGGCTCTGCATGTGGAAAAATCAACAGTCAGGGCCGAATTCATGCCGGGTGTCAACTCAGCAGGGGCAGGGCGCTGATACCGGGGATCAGTGTGACCCTGTAATTACCTCTGAAAAAAAAAAACGAAACAAGCCAACACACCCTTTCCCCCACTGCACGGCGATAACACTTCCGAAGCGCTCCTCGTGATACAGCACGGCTCAATAGCCCGCTTAGGAGGAAATGAATAGGCTGTAATTTAGCAGCAAATGAGCAATATACTCTATTCTGTGTAACAAGTTTTATGTGGTTTTCATTTAATATCACATTTTATTTATTTGCCCAGGAGAAAAAAAAAAACACAACCCTGGCTGTTGTTACGTCGGGAGCGAGTAGAGCGCGACGGGCCTTTATCGTTAGGTACTTTGCACTGGTGCTGCTGAGTGTGGCCACCTCTCTTCTACTTCGGTGGAAGAAATGAAGTGCTTTGCCACTTCCCAGTCACCTTTCCAGCCACGTGTGCAGCGCTTTCTGGCCTCTGGTAATAAGTAAAGCTGATGGTTTCTGTCCTTTCTCCGCCGAGCCTTGCTGCTGTTTGTTCTGCACTTGAAATTCCAGCCCCCCCCCATGCCGTCAGGGCAGGCTGCACGAGGCTGTTTGCCTTCCTGGCAAACCCATGGCAGTGGATTGGGTCCAGACCCTGGGAAAATGGTGCACAGGAGCCGGGGTGAGCGCACTGCTGCAGTCACGGTGGTGCCGGGCAGGAGAGGCAGCCCTGGGGTCGGCAGCGGCACGATGGCAGCATGGATGTTGCTGGGGGGGAGTGGGGCAGAGCCGGGGCGGGAGAGCAACTGGCACCATCACCCTCGCAACAGCACAAAATGAGGAATTTGACCAGGAGAAATTGTAAGGAGATTTTTATTTTTTTTAAGATGAGCATTGAGCTATTTCCTAGAACCTTTGCAGAACCAGCTGAACCTTCCTGAGCTGTTTCTATCGCAGAAATCCCTTCTTTGCCCCGCGAGAGAGCAGCCTCGCACCGGGTACACGATGCTTGGTGTTCCACCCCAATCCTGGGCAAAAGCAACTCGAGACAAGGGTGTGATTGCCTCTTTTTTCTCATTAAAAGGCTGCCACCATAAAGGGCAGCAAGGCGTGACAAATAATTGCTGTTAACAAATTGCTGGAGCTGTGCAAAGTGGCACCAGGACACTGCCCTCCTGCCCTGGGGAAGCTCTGCACAACCCTTCACAGGGTGTTTTTGACATTTTCTCTTCCCTGGGATCTCAGCTCGGGTTGATGAGGTTTTTGAGAGGTCTCAGGTCTCTTCTGAGCTCCCAGGGCTTTCAGAAGATGTTAGGTGTCTGCCCTCGGAGGCCAGAGCTAATGTCCTGGCTCCATGGCAGCGGGAGAGATGCCGGAGGAATGTGTTTTCCATCTGGTTTTGGTCAGACTTAAACCATAGAGCGTATTTGTCCTCCCTCAGCCATGTATCATGCTCCATATGATGGCATCAGAGCCCAAAGGATTGATTCATTTTCACCTGTAAGGGCACGTAACCACGTAACGTAAGCAAGCCTGGCAGTGCTCCAGCCAGCCTGCCTTTCCATCTCCAGTTCAACCTTAAAAGCATCACATGGGACGAGAGCCACTGTTTTCTCCCTTGCAGAATATTACAGCTATCCCCACCTCGACTAAAGGTGGCTCCGCAGCCAAAATAACCGTGTCTGCCAAAGACATTGGAGATGGCACCTCTGCCCATCACCATGAAAACAGGAGCTTCAGCAGTTTTTTGTCCCGCATTCAGCACCCAGGACCAGCGAGGCCAGTGGGGAAGGATGCGACCCCTCCACCACTGCTCTCGGAGACAACATGGGGAGCTGCAGCAGGGATTGGGGATGCACAGATTTTTCTGCCCAAAAAAAGTCCTGCCAAGACCACGAAACCTTCCTGGATGAGTCTTTGTCCACTCTGCTAAGACATGAGCTGTTGCCTAATAAGTAGGACAAGCTCATAAGATGAGAGAGACAACTCACCCTGACCAATGCTTCTCGTCGCAGGCGACAAGCAACCTCGTTTCTCCCCGAAAGACAAATGGAGCATGAGCTGTTTGGGGACAGCTTTGTGTATCTCTGGTAGGGAAGTGTTTTAACTCATGGCAACAGGCTGTGTAAATCAGAGCTGGAGCTGCAGCCAAATGATGCAATTAGAGGTCTTGCTGTCAACAAACAATCATGCAAATTTGTTCTCTCCGATAGGAATCAAGGAGAAGACATGACTAAGCATGTAATAGCGGGGGGGTTGGGAGAGGAAGAAGTTACCCGATGCTTCTTAATGAGGGGAGAACTTATTGCAAAATGGAAACAGTGAAAAGGTGAAGATTTGTGTGCGTCTCTCCAGGAACTGATGTGGCCGAGCAGCACCTGACGGCAGGTCCAGTATGAGGTTTAGGTGGTTTGGTCTCTCCTCTCAAGGCGTGTTTTCCCAACAGGACTTGTCCCCTTGCACAAGGCTTGCAGGATGTTTATCCTCACCAAGGACCAGCTACGTACTTTTTTTTTGCTGACAGCCAGCTCTTGTCTGCCTCAGAGCTGAGCTGCAACCAGTAATTAAAGGCAATCAGCAGTGTCTTAATTAAAGGGAACACTTGGAGGCATTAACTGGAGGCGTAGGATGCAGAAAGGGTGTTTTAGGGGAGCTGGTGGTTGTGGTGAGCGAGACGTCTCGCTGGGGAGATGGGGCCGGGAGCTCATGGGTGCTGGGTTAGCGACTGGGGAACGGCTGCTGGTGTGGGCACTGTCAACCGGGGGAGTTTGCACGTGACACGATGGTCTCAGCTCCAGGTTTGGGGACTGTAACCCACCCGCCGAAATCCTGGTGCCTTAGCAAGCCCGTCACTGCCTTCACCGGCAGGCCAAGCATCCAAGAAGTGGCCACAAGTGGGTGGTGCAGGTTTGCTGCCTACATTGATGTCTCTCTTTAGAGCAGGAAGTGATGGGGATTTTCTGGTCCCAATTCTTCGGCCTCGATGCTAAAAGGAACAGCCACTCCTGTCGCATCCACAGCCCTCGAGCACCCCTGCCCGTAACCAGGCGGTGCAGTGGGTGGCATTGGTCCCCCGCGCTGTGCCTGGTGACCTCTTGCTGCAGGACACCATTCAGCTGGGCCTTGGGAGGTGACAGGACGTGCTCCTAAAACATCTTGAAATGGGTTTAAATATGAACTGAGCCCCCAGCACCCCACGCACCTAGCCCCAACGCAGCATCCACCCCAGCACCCTTCCCAGGGCAGGTGTGGACCTTTCCATCCCCTTCCATCCCCAGCCCTGCGATGGCTCAGCCGCCGTTCCGATGTATACGGTACCATACACTGCTCTGTCTGCCAGGTGCCTCGTGCACCCTGGGTGGCCCATCTTTCTGTGCACATCAGGCATTTCCCTTACAGCGCCGACTCGGAGCCACAGCCGTCTGTAAGCAGGTGCTCAGCTGTTAAACAGCCTTAGAATCTCAGGACTTGGCATCAAAGCAGAAGCTGTCTTAGCAGAGACGTGCAGGGATCAGACTTAAAAGAAGTCGCTGGGGTAGGCTGGGGAAGAGTCTTTGCCAAGAAACATCTGTCTAAGACAGTTAACGTTAAGTACAAAAAAAACCCACCACCCTTTTGTCTGCTTCTGTTTAATGAGCGAGAGGAGCCCGGCGTCTCATTTCACTTTCTAAACCAGGTCTTGCGTAAGCCTGTGTACTTACCTGATCTTTTCCTTCTCTTTCAAAACAGGCATGCGAGCCCAGCTGGCCTTTTGCTGACAGCTGTAGTGGCGATTTCCTACACAATCGCGGTGCTGTATGAGGGGTGAGTAGCTCTGCAAAACTGGAGAGCTTCTCATTATTTCTGCCAGCTTTAACTCCTGAGGTTTCGGGGAACTGCAGA